CACAGAGAAGGATGTGATGGTACACAGGAGTCCTCTGCCTAACCTGACAATGATTACAGCTCCTATACAGCAATACACCACTTTTGCAATATTCCCCAAGTTAGCAGAATAGAGTGGTGAGGTACAGGCTCCCAGGTCAGGCTTGCTGGCTGTGTGTACGTCATCAAGTTACTAACCTCATCAGTAAAATGTAGGTATTAATAGTAACCTTTTCCTGGGATAGTTGGAACGCTTATATTAAATCTATTATCCTACTCTATGATGATCATTATTCACATTTTACAGCTGAAATTTATTAACTTGCCCAAGGTCATAGAACTAGTAGGTGGCCACATTGAGATGCAAATCCAGGTCTGCCTGAGTCTAAAACACAAGCTATTGACCACTATGTCCACTGTTCCAAAGAGAGAAATATTGTAGGCACCAGCTGGATAGACCTATAGGCAAAAAGCAGGAAAACATGGATCATGTTTCACTTCTCCTTTAGATCCCTATAGAACTTACTTTGCCTCTTTTATTTTTTTGGATGCTGCAAATAAGAAATTTAGAAATAAGCCTTAGTGGTGTGTAAATCATTTAAGGGTAGGGACAACTTTTTGCTCATTTTTGCTTTCTTTGTATCACCTACCATAATGCTTTGCATGTAGTAGGTGTTCAATAAGTGTCTTGAATGAAATTGAGCTCATTGTGTCCATAGGTGTAAATATACCAATCAATAGCCTTAGGGTACTGGAGGCACTCCAGACTCCTGAGGGGGGGTATCCATCTGGCAGTTCACAGAGTTCTGAATTATTAATATATATTTTGTCTTTAAGCACTTCATAGCATGGTGCCACTGCTGGACACTATCTGAATGAATCTTGGCTCTACTTCTTAACTATTTGACTATACACAAGTTATTTAGCTTTTTTAAGATTCAACTTTCTCATTTGTCAAATAATACTATTATTGTAATATTACAGAGGATGGAACAATACTGTAGATAAAGCACGTAATATAGTGCCTGGCTCAGAGTAAGTGTGTAATAAATGCCATTTATTATTATAATTACATGAAAATATTAAAGAATATTTCCATATTAAAGTTGTTTTGTTTGTTTGTTTTAGAATTTTTAAGTATGTGAGGATAGATAGGATCAAGAGCCTGAAGTACAGAGGACAGCTGTCCTGGGATCAGGCCCTGTAGAGGACTGATTTCTGGGACACAGTTTTGCTGGGAACAATTGTTAAAAACTTCAGCCAGGCAAGATGCTCCCTCTGGGGATCTCTGAGTGGTGTAGACCAAGGATGTGGATCCCTCTCTAGGGATACAAATTTCAAAGGGCATAGATTTTCTGAAAGTGTTAGTATGAAGCTTTTTGCTCTTTGGGTTTCCATAGATTAATTAAATCAGTTCCCATTCTTTAGTTCTGTGGACCAGGTTTTAGATAGACCTACAATCTGGTCAATAAGCGTTTACCCCAGAAATATTGTCTCTTTCATCTTCCAGCTCAGTCGATTACTCTTGGGAAGCAGGTAGGCATGGGCAGGCCTATTCTTTTGGGGTAATCTGTAGCCAAGATTCTTTGTAGGGCTGGGAATTCACAGTAGGGGATGTGGCCGCTTCTCAGATATGCAAACAGGAAGGCTGAAGGTGCTTAAAGCTATTTCATTTCCACCAACTTGATGGACTTTCTGCAAAGTAGGGCTGTTCTAGGGGATGGAAGGTGGGGTGAGATAGAAGAAAGAATGCCATATGCCTAAGACACAGTCCTGATCTCAGGGATGTGTAACCTGGTGGAGAGATGGATATAACAACTAACCATTATGCAAGGCAAAATGAATTATGAGCCTTGCTCGTGGTAAAAGCAATGGGCTGAGAAAACTAGAGAAAGGAGAAATCCCATCTAACTGTTTGGAGTAGGACTAAGATTTAAAAAAGTAGCCCGGCTGGTCGACCCATGCACCAGGAGGTCATCGGTTTTATTTCCAGTCAGGGCACATGCATGGGTTGTGGGCTCGATCCCCAGTGGGGGGAGGGGGCATGCAGGAGGCAACCAATCGATGTTGATGCTTCTCTCTCATTGATGTTTCTATCTCCCTTCCTCTCTCTCTAAAATTAATAAAAACATACATATTTTTTTAAAAATAGAAGAGTGGGGAAAGAACATTGTAGGTGGCGGGAGCAGCCTGGGCACAGAAGCACGCACTTAGATAAATAGGGCTTGTGAAGTTGCATGGGTAACTGCAACTTGTGGGTGAAAAGGAGGGTGGGAGGAGAAGCTGGGCTAGATTTTAAATTCCACCTTCAGGACTTTCTAAGGCCTTGTAGGTCTTCTTGGCTTGTGGTATCCCTTGATGCCTCATAGCCTTGATAGCAACCATATTAAAATGCATGTATATCCCATTTTAAAACTGATATATAACTGTAAGGCTGAGATGAATGCGTTGAGCTCTAGTTGACTAGTTTAGTGTACCCATAGATGTGGTCCTAGGACCAGTGCCAGTCTAGGAAAAGTTTAGAATCAGTGTGGGATGAGATAAGCACAGAACTTGAGAGGAAACACTTAGAAACTTTTATAGGCCATTTGACATGGCCACAATAACCAAGCAAGTGATCATTTTCCTAGTAATTCACTTTTATTCTAACTTCCAAAAATATTGGTTCACAATACAAACAGATTACATTGGCCTAAAATGCATTGGAGATTTTTAAATCTCTATGGTCCAAACCTTTTTAAACATTGGAAAAAAAATTTAACATGGAGAAGCACTGATCTAATTGAAATAATATTACTTGTTCAAGAAAGTTGAGGTTGGAGGTAATAGAGGAAAGAATTGATGAACTTGAGGATAGATTAATAGAAGTTTTACAGTGTGAATAGCAGAGACTGAAATATCTAGTACTTATCATTACATCTATACACATCTATATTATAGTCCATTGTGCCTAAACATTCAGACTTAGTTGAAGATAACTTTGTGGTAAGTACAGAAATCTACTCAAACTAACATAAAATAAAATAAAGTGTGTATATGTGTGTGTGGGCGGGGGCGGGGTGGTTGTTATTAGAAGACTACAGAAGTACCTAAAGGAATTCAAGGGCAGGGGGTGCCACTGATTCTAATGAGGGATGAAGCAGGAAATGGAATCCAGGCTGCCACTCCTCCCTTTTCTCTCACTCACCCTCCTTTCTGTCTCTTTCCTCTGCAATGGAGACTGTGTTGCACCACCCATCCTCATTCAAGAATAAAGGATTTGTTTTCCAGTTGTGGCTGTAAGATGAGCCTCTGCTGTCTGTCGTCTTTGGGGATTGCCTTGGCTAAGAAAACAGCCCCATCTAAAGCCATACTTTCTCCCAAGGATGGCCACATCTAATGAGTAATCAACACAAAGGTATAAAGCTCTGGTCCTCTTGGGACAACTGGGAAGAGACGTCTCAGCTCTAGAGCTCCCTACAGGGTTACCTTGATGGGACCTGCATCACAGCTCAGCTTCTCTCGGCCAAATTCTTCTTTCCCCTCCCTTCCAGATGTTGCTCTCAAGGGTACTACCTAATAAAGATCTGTGCATTAACTTTTCAGGTGACCCAACTTGGGACACCATACTTCCCAATCTTCCCCCACTCTCTCCCCCACTTCCTTTTTATACTCCCATTTTCCCTCTCTTCCTCTCCCTTTTCTTACCCCTTTCCCTTCCTCCATCCCTCAGACTATGTAGCTTCTCACTTCTGCTTCTTTCTGAGCTTCTACATCATTCCCTACTCACTTTTGAGATCAACCTTCTCTGCTCCTCTGGTACATGGACAATCATGGCTGCTCCAAAATGGTGTCTTCAGCTCCCCAGTCAGTGTCCCTGTGGCTTATGCTATTGGTATCCCACCCCCATGCCCTTTACTAGGCTGATGCACCCATCCTGCAGCTGACGTGGGTTCTACTTAACAGCTCACAGTTGTACCCTTCTGTGGAGCACTGCCCTTAGCCAACCTTCTCTGCTAGAGATGCCTAAGAGATTATGCCCCACACTTTTTGGACATTAACTATCAGATGAGTGGCTATAAAAGTCCATCATCCTTGCCTCAAGGATATGCTCTGTGGTACAATTCATGCTCTAGAGTTCCCCATGGGGTTGGGCTGAAGCCAGAGTTTTGAAATGGCATCTTTCCCTGCCCTGTGCCCCTCTCACTATCTTTCAGATGTAGATAAAGGACTTGCTCAGTAAATCCCACTGCTTTGAGGGAACCTGATATAAGATCATCACCTTCAAATCTGGTGCCATGGCTAAAGACATAATGCCAAATATCCAGAAGGGATAACTAGATATGAGCCCACCCAGCTTCTGGGTTGAACACCTGGATCAGGAGTTCACTCCAGGCCCAATCGTCTATGGCTGGAGAGTGGTACAGTGTAGAGGAGATGAGGGACACAGGCAGAGAGGGCAACTCACAGAAAAGACTGGTCAATTCCTACAAAAAGTGGACCCTACCATCTATCCTTCTCAGTCTTTTTAACATTTATTTTCTCTGTCAGCTTCCTCACCTCTGTCCCCATCCACATCCCAGGTTTGAAATGAAGGAGGCAGTTTTGAAAGGTGGCACCATGTTATGGACCAAGGATTGGACCATGTGTCAGGAGACCTGGGTTGTAGCCTACTTCACCCCACTTGCTTCACATCTCTGGGTCTCAGATTTAAGGTAAAGTAGAGACTTGGTTTGCCAAGTTGAATAGTCAGTGCTCCTATGAAAACAAGCAGGGCAAGTCTTTAATGTCCGCATCCCTCAACTCAGCACAGTGCCTGGCACAGAGTAAGAACACGATAACATATTGAAAACAGGAGAGAGCATTTAAAAATAAAATGACAGTGAATTACATTAAGACAGTAAAGGAAGAGTGTGACCCAAACTCATGCTATGGGTGTGGAACCATTAGCACTTGGTGAGTGCTAATTCGCGCCAGTTCTGGGTTAAGCACTTCAGGTGCTATTCCCAGTACTGCTACAGTGTGACAAAGCACCCCAAAACGTAGCTGTTTAAAACAACCATTTTATTATGTGTATAGATTCTATGAGTCAGGAATTTGAGTAGGTGATTGTGGGATGGCTTGTCTCTGCTCCGTAACATCCAGGGCCTCAGTTGGGAAGATTTGATGGCTGGTGGTGACTTGACAGCCTGGAGCTGGAATCCCCTGGAGCTATCAGATGACTGGTGGTTGATGCTGAGACCTCAGCTGAGGTTGCTGACCAAACCCTGGGCTTCCTCACAGAATGGTGGCTTCAAGCTGCTAGGACTTTTGACATGTCAGTTCAGGTTCACAAGGCAAAAGCATCATCATTTTGTAACCCCAGCTTCAAAGTCAAACTGCATAATTTCCTCCACATTCTATTGGTTGCCCGTCCAGATTTAAGAACAGAGGAATTAGGCACCACCTCTTGATAGGATGAGGGCAAGGTTCTCATAGCACATGTTAGAAAAGTTCAATCTGCCATGTGCTCCTTAATTCTTCCATGTCCTTGGAGTAGGCATTATTGTCCCTTTACAGATGAAGAAACTGAGGCTCAGAGAGGTTAAGTAACTTGTCTGCGGACAAAGCCAGTACATGGCAAGGCTGGATTTGATCCCTGTCTCTACAAATCAGGTGTTCTCCAACAGCATATAGGCTGCTTACAGAAAATAGGAACTGAGGAAAGGAATGCATTCAAAGGCCAGTTCTCCCTCTGTGCAGGATCGGGAGTGGGTAAGCCTTCTTCTCCTCCCCCATAACCCTGATGTCAGAGTTAATATCTTTACCATGTTATAAAGAAGTCAGGTTCCTGTGCATAACTCCCTAAGGCAGGGGTCCTCAAACTTTTTAAACAGGGGGCCAGTTCACTGTCCCTCAGACCGTTGGAGGGCCGGACTATAGTTTAAAGAAAAACTAGTCGGCTGCTAAGCAACAGGCAGCGGTGGCAAAAACACCCGGCGGGCCAGATAAATATTTTCGGTGGGCCGCATGTGGCCCGCGGTCCGTAGTTTGAGGATCCCTGCCCTAAGGTATTGCTTCTGGGAGACTCTATAACGATGTGTGTACCTTTGATGCCTCAAGTTTGCCAGATAAGGGCTGGCAGAGAGGTTGACGTCCCCCTACCCACACCTTCCCACAATCGTTTGGTCAAAGACTCTGGGGAACAGTGGGCTGGAGGAAGTTCTGTTCCCTTCCGTAAAGGCAGCATGCAGAACCAAGTGCCAGGAATACTTTCTCTGTCATGATACCCATTTAAACTCCTATCTTCCCTTAAGTTCAAACAAGGCCCACTTCTTTCAGGAAGACATCTTTGATGCTCTCCTGAAACTTACAATTGAATGTTCAGATGATAACTGGCACTTACTGCTTGCTCTGTTGTGTCCTAAACCCCCAATGAGCCTTCTAAGGACTCAGAGGGCAAGGATGGTGCCTTTCTCTCCTTCAGTTCTCCCCTGAACACCACAGGAATGATACGTTATTAGGTACTCCATACATACTGACCGATGAGATCAAAGGGCCTCATAAAGTTTATTATTATAACAGGAGGAGACATGTGCACCTCTTAGAGCCCACAGAGTGCGCAGGCACTGTGCTACTTGCTACGACCCTTGTGATCCAGAGGCAGGGTTTTAGAAAATCAGATATGATCCTCCTGGGCACTCTGCAGCATGTCAATAACATATCAGACTTGGTCTCTAGAAGTCCTTGGTCAGATCAAGAGGCCTTCAGTTGAGGCAAGTGCTATAAGGTTACAATCTCAATTAGCTGTCAGATGATTCTAGAGTCAGACATTTAGGAAGTCCCTAAATAGGGTTTTTGAAAATCCCAAATCTTGGCTTTAACTTATCCTGTAAGTTGTTTGAAGGATTGCTGTAGCTGGAGCTATTGGACAGGAAAGGATGGATCTTAGAGTTTTTATTTCAAATTAGTCTTCTTGTAATAAGCAAATTTCTCTACCCTTCTTTTAATTTGTCACCACTTTACCTCAAAGTGTTCCTAAAAGTCACGACTTTTGGAAACACCTTTGAATGTTCAAAATCAACTGATGAACCTGTTCATAAATTATGGATAATCAATATCAGTGTTTCATCTTCACTCATTAGTCACAACATAAACTCTTGATTCAAATATAACCTTATGGTATAAAACTATTTCCTAAATACACCATCACCAAGAAAAAAACTAAACTCCCTTAAGTACTTACCTTGGGATATGAAAGAAAATGTAAACATTTTATTTGGCAGTTATGAACACATGAATAAATAAATGGAAAAGTACATATTAATATTTCTTTTTGGAGTAACAGATATCATTAAATGCTTATTTATACACCTTCACTGCAAAGAACAGTTACACAATTCAATTTTCTCTTATAAAAGGTAACTTCCCACACCACTGGACTGGACAGTTAAAGATGGGGATATGGTAGTGCTTGGTTCTAGCAGTCTCAGTGTTTGAAAGGCATTCATTTGCAAGTGGGGTAAGAAGAGTCATCATGCATTGAGTTCATCCGGACCATGTACTGTAGAAAGTTTCTGATGGCAGCCACAGAATTTGTGTGTCATGCGCTTAAGTCAACTATGACATGTTTGTAAATCTGTGTATTTCCCTTAAAACTGGAAGCAAAAAGAAAATTGCGTTTATTAATGGACACATGTGTGAATGATCTTGGTGCCTGAACATTTAATTCCTGAAATTTCACAAATTTGGCTTTCTCTGCATCCCAGTTATACACTTGAGTAAAAGAATAATCACTTCCAAGAATTGCATATTGATAGTTATTTATCTGAAGAGGCTGGAACACCATAGATCCTCGTGATGGCATCCTCTGAATATCCTGAAATGAGGAGCCTCCCCATTTCATTACTTTGGAATCACCAATGAATCTCGTCAAGCAAATGTACACGTCACCTTTCACTGAGAAGTGCTTTACGGCATATACATCCTCCATGTTAGGGATGTCAGTTTGGTTAGTGAATAATTGTGTTGCTTTGTTCCACTGATAAATTACAGGACGCTGGGAACTACTGGACAGGATTAAATGAGGCATTCTCAATGCCTGAGGTGTTCTGGCTATTTCTAGGTATTCCACATCAGTGTCCCTGTACCACGCATGTAAGGATTGATGGGAGTAGAATCCATTTCCATTCCATTTGTAAATGGTAGTAAAACCAGCTTTTGAACTGTCAGCAACAACAAAGTACCAGTTGTTTTCAATCTTGAATGTTTCAATATCATTGGGTTTTCGGATTTTGAGAATTTCAATATCCTGGATTTTTATGAATTTATTTGCAAAACCGTCTCGCTTATAGATGTGAGAGCCGCCAAATAGCTGGGCCACAATAACATAGAGCTGAGTTTCAATGACTATAGGCTTGCATACTACAGTGGACGTGCCTGGGAAAAGACAAATGAGAGGTTAGCTGGATGGTCATCCTCTTTTGGAGCATGCAGACGTTGTCATGTTACATCCAACCTGCACTAGATATTTAGGATACATGGCTATAGCCTGAGTTTCCTTCTCTCATTTCTTGCAGAAAGAAAGCATTGCTCTCCCTAATACATCATGAGTTAATCTTTGTAATTGTAGTGAAAACAGCCATTTATTGAGCACCTACTATGTGCGTTGCCAAATCATCTCATTAAAAATTTCTAAAAGGTTAAATAATAAATATTATTATCTCCCTTTTTGTTGATGAGCAGGCTGAAGCTCAGAGAGGTTCAATGCTGCTAGGAGAAGGCAGAGTTGGGATTCAAACCCAGGTCTACCAGCATTGCTATGGGGTGGACAGCTAGGTATTCCAGGATTTCCATCTTGGGCTTAGATCCCACAAGGCTTTAGGAGGTTTGAATGGTGGTTTGGGAAGCCCACAGCTCTGTCTGTAATTGGTTTCTTCTAAGTGCGAACTACTTCTTGAATAACCTGACTTTCCCCTGAGAAAGGAAAGTGATGCCACTTGGCATTTTTCTGCATCTTTGGGTCACTGGTGGCAGGAGAGAAGAGAAGGAAGGGGGAGGAGTACATAGATGATGCTCATGAATGTTACCTTGGGAAATATTAGAGACCAACATGAGGTCTGTCAGTGGCCTAGCTCAGCATCCTTTTGGTAAGAGTTTAATATTTATGAATATATTCTGAATTCCTCAAGGGAGCTTGATTCTAGGAAATCCAAAGAGAAGCGGGTCAAATGTAGGACCCTGGTCTTTTCTGCCTGCAGCCTAGGGGGCTCTGAGGCACTAAGTTCTGCATCAACTCTTTCTACTAATTGACTCCATCCAGAGACAGAATTATTCTATTTGTGACCCTTTTCAGGACTCAACTGATTGTGTGACCTTGGAAAAGTTACTTAACTTCTGTGGGATTTAGTTTTCTCTTTTGTACAGAGAGGGTTGAAACTAGATCAGGGCTGGTCACTAGATTTACCTATGTACCCATAATGACTGACTGATGATGATAAGAGCGACTGCCTGGAGAACTGTGTTGAGAAGGATTCTGTGGCCACTGCTGCACTCTGCAAGAAAGAGCACCACAGTGGATTAGCAATGTCTGTCTGGGGGTGAGGGACAGGATGTTGATCATATACATGACATCTGTTTGTCATTTTATACTAGATGATGCATTCTGAAGTTGCAAGTACATGATTCATTTCTCTCAAGTGCTCATCTAAAGATTCATTCAAGCCCTAGCCAGTTTCGCTCAGTGGTTAGAGTGTTGGTCCATGGACTGAAGGGTCTGGGGTTAGATTCTGGTCAAGGGTATGAACCTCCAATGCAGGCTCCATCCCCGGTCTCATGAGGGCACATGTGGGAGGCAACCAATTTATGTGTCTCTCTCACATCGATGTTGGTCTCCTTCTGTCTTTCCCCTTCCCCTCCACTATCTCTAAAATCAATGGAAAAAATATCCTTGGGTGAGGATTAACAACAACAACAAAGCAATTGATGGACTGCACATAGGTAAAAAGAACTGGTTTAGATTACATGAATGCCTACTGTAATCCACTGGAAAACAAGGAAGGCTTAGGGAGAAAGGGAAGCATAGCCTTTCTCCTTGAGAAAGAAGGAGGATTCTAGAAGGGTATCAGTTAGGAGGGGATTCCTTCATCTGGGTACCTCTGTCTCAAGCAAGCTCAGACCTGTATTGATCCTTTGAGCAATGGGCCAAGGACCACCAACAAAATCTAATTATGACCCTCTCAGTTTTGTCTAGGAGCTTTTAGGAGTAGATTTAAAAGTATTAGGAACTAAAGCTGATGTAAATATTTCACAGAGTGTCCCATGTTTAATTTATGACTTAAAAAATTTCAAGTTGTTGAAATGAGAAAGGAACCTAAGAGATCACCTGAGTAAAAGTTTGCATGGCAAAAAAAAAAAAAAAGTTGGTTTCCATGGTCAAACTAAATGCAAAAAATTCTGGAAAGAGGCTTGTTTTTTCACTGTTAGAACTTCTCAGAGCCTCTAATGAGTATTATTCTGAATCTCCAAGAGGGAGATATGGTTCATAGATGTATTTGACCACAAAACCCTTTTTGCCACAAGCATACATTAATATTTTACAGAAGTAATGTTTGTTCAACAAAGTTTGAGACTCATTGGTCTAAAATAACCTTATTTTAAAGTTAAGAAAAAGAGAGCCCAGTGAGAGTGAGTAGCATCCCCAGTTTGTGGCAGAACCTGGGTTAGAACTCATGATTCCTAGTCCAATACTTTCTCATCCAGGAAAAATTATCCACCTTTTATTGCTAGACTAGGTACTATGGTAAGTTTCTTGAATATATGCTTGCATTATCTTTGATAACCTTGTAAATATTTCAGATTTACAAGTGAGAAAATTAAAGTTTAGGGAACAATTCCAGATCACTTAATAAATGGCAGAGTTGGGATTCAGATGTCTCAAAGCCTTCCCAATATCGCTCATCTTTCCCTGTTGCCCTTGGTCCAAGCAGCTTAACTTTTCACTCAAAATATGATTAGGCTTCTCATACCTGTAATGTTGTCATAATTCCGAAAGGTCTTTTCTACATGGTCCCACTCAAGGAAAATGCATTTTCCGTTAAAAGGCTGAGCAATGACTACATACTCATCGTTCATATAAGAAAAAGTGTCTATGGACAGTGATTGATAAGGCAGCTCTTGAGACTTTGCAAATTCTGCAAAAATAGGAAGTGACAATGAGTAACTGTGTGCTAAAGTCTAGCTCCTTGGCTAGATCTCAAATGTCCATAACAAATGCATTTATTTTAGAAAAGTAGTAAAATGACAATTTTACTTTGCTTTTAAATGCATGACATTTTAATGGTTCATAATATTTTAAAAATTAAATTGCTTAGTTGGTTTTTGAGATATAAAAATATCAGTTCCTGCACATGCAAAAAAGTGTAGCCCTTCTTTTAATTTTATGAGGTGGAATAACTTGGAATACATTACCTGTAATGATACAATCAAAATCCTTGGAGGAGAGGCTATTGATTTTGCGCTTCTTATATTCTGGAGGGCTTTCGCAGTAGATGTCTTCGACAGTTGCATTGGTGTGGCCTAGCCATTCCACCAGCCACTTCAGTTTACAGTCACAATTAAATGAATTCCCTCTGAGGTCCCTGAAAGACAAACTTCAGCTGCTTTTGCTCTAGGAGGGTCCTGCCTTCACAGTATGACTTCTATTTCAGCCATTAGCATGTGCCAGAATGCCCCAGAATCCACCTTGAACCTGACTAATTCACTCTGAGCTTAGAATTACCACAGTGTACCCTTACAGGCCACCCCAGTCAAAGGAACCTGCTAACTTACTCCCTCTTGGATTCGAAGGTAGCTGGGTTTAGAGCTGTGCTGTCCATAGAAATATAATGTGAGCGACATATGTAATTTAAAATTTTCTATAGGCACATTAAAAAAGTAAAAAGAGACAGGTGAAGTTAATTTTAATAATATATCTTATTTAGCCCAATATATAAAAAATATTATCATTTTGATATGTAGTCATTATAAAAATATTAATAAAATATTTTACATTCTTTTTTATATTAAGTCTTTGAAGTCTAATGTATATTTTATACTCATTTTATAGCATATCTCAATTTGGATGCTAAATTTTCATCAGAAATACCTGATGTGTCCTTAGATTTAATAAAATTTCCAGTTAAAAAAAATAAACTCACACGCCCAAGTTGTTGCAAAGAGACTTAAAAGTTTTCTAATAATTGAGCTGAGAATCAATTTTTAAATTTAAATTTAAAAAAAATTAAGTAAAATTTACAAGTCAGCTTCTCAATCACACTAGGAACACATTTCAAGTGACCGCATGTGTGGCTACCATACTGGACAGCACAGGTCTAGAGGAAAGTATGTAGTGATTATTGTATCATATTTAATTAAATGGAGTGAGTTATTTGCTTTTCTTCTTCCTCACAGACATAATTAATCCTGACCTTATTTCATGGTCTACAAATTCAATTTTAATAGGAAATGACTTTGACACAGCAGAGTTAACGCAGACATGCAATAGCTCATGTTCGTAATAAACTACACATCTAGATAGTTTAAATTTCCACATATGATTCCAACTTACCAACTTCTATTTATTTGCACTGCTGTTGTTCATAAAGTCCATCTCCTTCCTAAAACCCTTCTTCATCACACAAAATTTGTACAGTAAGTGTTGCCTACTCTTCACACAGCACATAAACATTTTTTAAATGTTGAAGGTTTAAAATTTTTCTCCAGAGACGTAGTCAAGAAAACCAAGAAATTCACTAAACGTCAAGTTGGCATAATCCTGTACTTCTTAGACAATTCTTGATTTGAGAATATCAAAGTAGGCCCAAGAAGCCAAACCCATTATAGAATTCCCTGGAGAGACTGAGACAATTTCAAATGGCTTTTATTTTTTTATTTTTTGTTAGTGTGAGGTACAGGCTGACATAAGGATAAGACAAAGGGTCTCCAAATAAACTGTATCCCCAAGTCAGCCCTGAGGTGTCATCTAACTTCTAAGACATTGTCAGTACTGACCTCATCTCCCAAGCATATTCTGACCCAGAAGAATGTGTCAACTTTTCTGGGCTATTGTTAACCAGAGCAGATAACTGGTCTGTTAGAGACTTTCTTGGAAATGTCCTGATCCCTGCACTCTCTTGGAAATAAACCAGGAATTGGGCTAATAGGCATGGAGGAGGGGCTGGGGGAATACTACAAGGAACAAAGGAAGTTTTTCAGTAGTTTACTGATTTGAACTTAAATACTAGGCTTAGGAGAAAACACTTGACTCAGACTTTTTGTTATTGGAGAAAAGTTGTTCTGAATAGTCTATAGCAAAGTACCTGAATAATAAGAAATCTTTTGTTTTCATATGTCCTTTCATTTGTTCCTGAATTCTACCTTATGGAATTTAAATACCTTTCAAATATTCTGGAAGGCACTTAATGAAGCTAAATTGCTTTTGAGAGCTTTAGGCATATATTACTTGCTTTGCTTACAGCAAAATATACAAATTCCTTACAAAGATCTTTCACTCTGAGGCTTAAAAGTCAAAGTTTGAAAGCTCTTTTGTTTGAAAAGGGCTCAAAAATAATTAAGTTCATTCCCTTCCCGGGGCTTAAGCCAAATTCCTGGGGATTAAGCCTAGAGTTGTTGTTCAGTCTAATGAGAAAAAAGTCAAACTTTCCTCCCTTCCCCCATTTCCTGCTCCATTTCTCTGTAGACTGACCAACCCATGGGTGTAACCTTTCATCTTTACTCTGTTTCCCAGACTCCTTTACATTTTCCTTTGTAGCCCCATTTTCTGGACCTCATGGGGAAAAAGGCATCTTGAGATTTCTATCTGGGCCTCCTGGTCCCTCTCCCTCAAACTTCCTTATCATCACTCCCTTCCATACCGACACACACTTTGTCAAAGGAATGTCTGGGCACTATATTTTCAGAATGTCTAGTGGTAAAAATCATAGAAAAAAAACATTAGTCTAAGTAAATTTAAAATTCAAATCAACTTAAATTCTAAAATTCTAATTTAATTTTAAAGCCAATTAAAAATTTTAATAATCAATACCAGGCTTCTTTGTAACTATTACAAATTAATTAATTAATTAATTAATCAGGTCCTCTTACACATTTGTTAAAGAATCCAGGCCTTTGAAAATATCTTTTGGGAGCGTCTGGAGATTGTTGTTTGCAAGGCTCCTGGGGGGAAAGAAAAAGAGTGAAGTAAACTGTAGTCATAAACTAAATAAATGTATTTTATGATAAAGCTTTGTTATGAGTCCCTTTTGTTCTTCCCAGGCTATACTAAATTACTTCTTCTGCTAAGATACTAGTCAGGTTCCTGCAATTGTATTTTCAGTCCTTGCCTCCTTGTTTCAACACTCAATGGTACTTCATGTATCATGTTTATCATGCCCTCCCCACCCCCAAATACCAGTAACAAAATGATGCCTGGGAACTGATCTTTCTGTTTAGAACAGATAAGATTCACACTCTCAGACATTGTCTAAGGGATGTCTCCCAAAGGATGACTAAATGGGTGACAGGGTCTATCCCCAAATGCCCTATTACCACAGGAATTGTTTTCTCTTTCTCCTTCTATTTGTTCTTTCATGAATCACTAGAATGATTTTAATCAAAGTTTTTCAGTAGTTTACTGATTTGAACTTAAATACTAGGCTTAGGAGAAAACACTTGACTCTTTCTCTTTCTCCTTCTATTTGTTCATGTTCATAATAAACTACACATCTAGATAGTTTAAATTTCCACATATGATTCCAACTTTGATTTTAACCAAAGTCAAAGAGTCCTGACAGCATCAAGGAAAGAGAAATGTGTCTATATTGCAGAAATGTGAACAAGCAAAGAGCAGATGCTGTCTGATGGGGAAGGGTTCTAGTTACTCGTAAATTTCTATTTTTTAACCAGCATTGTACATATTCATGTTTCATAAACTTCTTAGAAGTGGTCTTTTTTCACAATAAAAATCAAAAAGTAAAACAAAAAAAGGCTATGCTGTCAGCCTCCAAAACCCTTGAGAATGAAAATTCCCTTTAAAACACTCTTAAAAGTCTGTGTCTTCCACCTCCTAACTAATTAATATGAGATTTTCCAGTGTAAACATTCAGGACTTTTAAAACATATTTTTAAGTTAATTATGTTGCTTTTCTGAGTTTTGGAAATTACAACTAGATTGGAAGACCTTTTTCAATGAGCCTTGGCACATAAGAATGAGAACTGAGTCAGATTGTTCCCACCTCATTGACAGTCTATTTTGTGAAGAAGGACATGGATGTGGAGTCATTCTGAGCTTGGTTTGAATTCTGGGTCCACTATTTACTGGTTGTGTGATTTTAGTTGTGCATCTTCTCTGAGACTCAGTTTTTTTTTTTCCCATTTTTAAGTGGATGAATGATACTCATGTCATAAGATTGTCAGAAGTAGTAAATGAGATAACTCAGGATGGTATCTGGCTTTTGGACTACTCTCAAAGGGCAGCTTGGAGGAGAGAGCGGGGAAAAGAAGGAAAAGGCCTTCTGCCTGTCCATTGTCCAAGACACAGCATTGAGAAAACTGACCATCCGAATGAACTGCTGCATAGTAATAATAAAATGCTAAAGAAGACTATTCAAGAGAATGTTTCCATAACTCACCTTACTGCCTGGTGGTTGAATGAAGAGATTTCGACCAGTTCAGAGTCACTCTCAAGTTATGTGTCTCAATTTACTTTCTGGCACCACGTGCCTTAAGTTCTCATGCTAACTTCTCAGTGGACATACTTCCCCCAGAAACCAGCACACTGTCATTGGCTTCAGGGCAGGAGTTTGGAGGAGGCTGGTCAGGGGACAGTGGGCATGAAACAGCAAGTCCTGAATTACTGCTGCCACTAGGGCTGCATAGGAAGAAGCACTTTGTTTGCATTGCGGCCCAAGGTGGTTCTTTTAAACAATGGAGGAATCTAGCAGTTTTATTTCCTGCCCAAAGGAGTACAGCTGTAGGCCTCACATGCTAACTGCAGAAGCAGCTGGTGAGATGGTCAGAGATAGAGACTTGGAGCTCTGGGGCTTCTGGAATAGAGAGTTGGTAATTTTTCATGGCAAGATGGACTTATAATCAACAGATCTGGGAGATGGGCTGATGAAGCAAACTGGCCTGATGGACTGTAAAATGAGGCATTATGCTTCTTGAGGACGTCTTGTGATAGGGAGGCTCTCCCCAAAGGAACCAAAGGATGAGGGAGGCAGTGCAGTATGAGGGGTGCCAGAGGGAAGAATGGTGGATGGATTTACTACAGATCCCATCTCTACATTGAGTTTTGCCACTGGAAAGCAAAATGGAAAATCAAATTCATTAAATTTCCTCAGTTTCCTCTGTCCCTTCATCTGCCCTCCTTTTTCACAGAGTAACAATTTAATATTATTATTATTGTTCCCTTTTCCTCAGTGGAAGCGCTGTTTGAAATATGTTCTGTATCTTTGGTAAAACTGGTTGTAGCTATTATTGTATTTTATTTTATTTGCATCATTTAGAGCAGTGTAGTAGTTGGGTCTCAAGTAGATAAGGGATTAAATTTTAGCTTCATCACTTTCAGGAGTGTGTCTTTAGACAACTTAATTTAACTTTTCTGGGTTTCTGTCTTGACATCTGCAAAACTGAGCAAAGAAAACCTATTTCATTTATTGTGAAAATTAACACCTGTAGCTACAAATATTTTTATACACATACTTTGAAATGGTTTCCAGAAAAATTTTGTATCTGCAGATAAATATTTTTTTGTTTTGTTAATCCTCATCCGAGGATAATTTTCTATTGATTTTTAGAGAGAGTAGAGGGAAGGGGAGAGACAGGGAGAGAGAAACATCGATGTGAGAGAGATGCATCCATTGCTTGCCTCCCACAGGCACCCCAACTGGGGGCCGGTTGTTGAGCCTGCAAAAGAGATACATGCCCTTGACCAGAATCAAGACCCTTCAGTCTGCAGGTTGATGCTCTATCCTCTGAGCCAAAACGGCTAGGGGTCTGCAGCTGAATTTTTATGCCTATGTCAGATGTCAAGACCACAAAATCAATCTTTTTCATTGTGGTTGATGTCAAAACCAGTAATATTTAATATCTAAGCACATCTAAATGCTCCACTCAGGAGGATGAGATCAACTTTCTGTCTTTTTTGAGTAGAAAGAACTCTATGCCTTGTATTCTTAAATGTCCCATCTTTTACTGATATCTGTTATATCTATGTGTAACATACCACATGTACACAGATATATACATACCTATAAACACAAACATGTAATCGCTATTATTATTCTTCAATAAAATTTGGAAAGTACAAGAAAAAATTTTTTAAAGGAGAAAAAAAATAATTATTCTGGCAGAGACAACCCCTGTTAAGATTTTGTCATATTTTGTTTTAATCATTAATACAAAGCCCATCTCATGGGGGCATTAATGTGGAAAACAAGTGTGTCCAGAGAGCCAGTCTAGTACTCCCCAAGCCTTAAGATCTTCTTCTGTCTCCTCTAGTGGAATCCTGGATTGATGTGGAAGAGCTTCCTCTGCAAGTCTTTTTGCTGGGCAAGGTTCACGTCAGTGCTGGATATTAAAACTGAATAGGAGTTCTGTCAGCAATAAGAGGAAGAAAACTTAAAATACCGAGGGAGAGAGAGGCAAGGACATAGAGGTAGCTATTAGAGTTGATGGGAAAAAGACTTTCTACATGGTATGATGGAAGGAAACTATGCTACTGCCCAAGCTGACCCACTGCCTGTCAGCCTGACTTCAGGGTTTCCTGGACTCAGCAGCAGAGTATGGTGCAAACAGTATGGGGCCCGGAATCACATATCTGGGTTTGAGCTCTGGCTGTTTCCCTTTCTACAAAGGGAATGATCACTTGGTCAGAATGATATCCAGGCTCTATTTTAGTTCTAAAATCACATCTTTATAGTACTTTTCACTGTGGGAGGCATATGGCTTCATCTTTAATAATAATAAAATGATACTCATAGAGTTAATACTTTAAGCTCCATAGATAAGAGTCAGAGAGTCTGACCATGGGTTTTTATAGAGGGCAGGAGTGCACTGGAATATCTGAAGGGGGTGGATGAGTAGGACTGATTGGGAGAGGAGTGAAGATAAAGCAATGAGAAGTTTGAGAAACATTTCATCAATGTTAATTTTTTAAGGATGATTATGTAGTGTTATTGGAAGGACTCTTTCCACTGCCTCCCCAGTGCCTGGCACAAAGTAAGCCCTCAATAGATACTGAAATACATGAATGAATGGGGCAGGTTGGAGAGGAGGAAAGGAAGGGCACCAATCCAGACAAAGAAAAGAGCAGAGGCCCCTTGTACCAAGGCACTGAGCTAAGGAGAAAGTGCAGAGCCCTGTGAATTACCATGGTCACCCACCCTCGTGTCATATGGACCCCAAAGTGCCCTCCCTCCTCTTAGCCTCACCTTGGTAATAATTCCAAAGCAATGGAGAAGCTCTTTAAAGTGTGTCTTCAAGTAAGCACCTTGCTCTAAGTCCTGATTCAGAGTCTACTTAAGAAACATTCTTCAGGAGAGTACCAAGATGGCGGCATAGGTTAACGCCGGAGTTTGCTGCTTTGAACAACTACTTCAAAAGTGAAACCAAAAAACGGAAGGGACATCACCCAGAACCACAGGAACGCTGGCTGAGTGGAAGTCCTACAACTAGGAGGAAAGAGAAACGCATACGGACACTCAGAGGAGGCGCAGTGCTGAAGTCAAATTCTGAGGTGCGGAGTGCACGGAGCCGGCTGGCGGCGGAGGGCGCGGTTGGCGTTTTCAATCGGGAGGGAGTCGCAGACTCTGAGCTCCAGATACGGGCGAGTCTTTAGGGACCCAGACTCAAACGGGAGAAGCGGGACTGTCTGGCTTTGGTCAGAGCGAGTGTAGCTTTCTCTCTGAGCTTTGCAGTGGGTGCTGGGACTCAGAGAGGCAGAGCCCCTGGGGACAGGACTGAGAGCCGCCATAACTGCTCTCTCCAGCCCACCCTGTTGATCCTGTGCGACCCGCCCCGCCCAAGCCCTGCACACAGGCATTTGCCGGATAGCCTCAGGCAAAGGCTAGATTAGCACCTCCCTAGAGGACAGAAGTTCTCTCACTGCTGACACAGCTGATTCTCATAGCCACTTGGCCTGGAGGTCAAACCCTCCCTGGAATTAGCTACAACAA